CCGTTTTGGCGATTTTTTTCATAAAAGAAGTAAAAAAAATGCCAAGACGGCATTTTTCCATAAGATAATATGAAAAAATTGCCGCTTTGGCGATTTTTTTCATAAAAGAAATGAAAAAAAATGCCGTTTCAGCATTTTCCATAAGATAATATGAAAAAAGCCGCTTTGGCGATTTTTTTCATAAAAGAAGTGAAAAAAAATGCCAAAATGGCATTTTCCATTAAATAAAATGAAAAAACGCCATTTTGGCAATTTTTTTCATAAAAGAAGTGAAGAAAAATGCCAAAATGGCATTTTTCCATAAGATAATATGAAAAAATGCCGCTTTGGCGATTTTTTTCATAAAAGAAATGAAAAAAATGCCGTTTCAGCATTTTTCCAATAAATAATATAAAAACGCCATTTTGGCGATTTTTTTCATAAAAGAAGTGAAAAAAAATGCCAAAACGGCATTTTTCCATTAAATAATATGAAAAAATGCCGTTTTGGCGATAAGAAGTGAAAAAAATGCTGAAACGGCATTTTTCCATAAAATAAAATGAAAAACGCCATTTTGGCATATTTGTTTATAAAAAACAATGCTGAAACGGCGTTTTTTCATAAAATAACATGAAAAAACGTTGTTTCAGAGTATAAACTCTATTAAAAATAAAAAAAAAATGATTTTTTTAATTAAAAAACGTCAGACTTGACGTTTTTGTAATTAAAAAATCAAAAAAAAATGATTTTTTTTAATTAAAAAAATGTCAGACTTTACGTTTTTGTAATTAAAAAATCAAAAAATATTGGTTTTTTTTAATTAAAAACATCAGTATTGACGTTTTTTGTTAAAAAAATAAATATGAAGAAAAAATGTTTTTGTGTTATTTTTTATTATAATTTTATATGGAAAAACGCCAAAATGTTTTTTCTTAATAGTAATGCAAAAAAAAAAAGTTTTTGGCGTTTTTTTTTTAATAATATTATATGAAAAAATGCTGAAACGTTTTTTCTACAATTTTTTTTATTTTTTTGCAATATTTTATGAAATTTTAATGATCAACAAAAAAATGAAATTATGCAAATATTGAATGATGCAACAATTTAACAGGGACTTTTAGTGGCACAGGAAGAGTTTTTGCGAAAAGTTGGCATTAGAAGTTTTTTTCATTGTCATTGTCATTGACATTGACATTGACATTGACATTGACATTGTCACTGACATTGAC